GAGGGACGCTGGCTGCATGGATGACGATGCGGGGTGGCGGGGAGAGCGGGCGCGATGGGGGGATCTGGGGCGTGTGCAGGGGTGCGATCAGCAGGGCGATGATTTGAAGGTAGCGGTACGGCAGGACGCATGGCGTGGCGGGATGCGCGCGCGACTGCAAAAGCGGCCGGGAAGATCTACCTCGGCGGGGGCGTCGACGTCACCGTTGCCAAACACGCGGTATATGCGGCGCGGCCCCTGGGACACGCCGCGCTGCAGTTTGATGCCTTGGATGCTGTGTTGCAGCGGCATCCGCGAGCCGCGCGGCCCGGCAAGCAGCGTCAGCACGGCGCGGCGGTCGCCGTGCGACAGGAGCGGGTGGCTCTGTACAAAGGCGAGGTCGGCTGGTGTGGCCATCGCCTTTGTCACAAAGATAGCTGCCGAAATATATGAGGGACGCGAGGGCCGCCCCTGCCGCGGATGCGTCGCTCAACGGATCGGAAATTGAGATCGGGCCCAGGAGCACGCGGCGGAAGCCCCGTCCGCAGCAATGGGTCTTAAGGTGGGCTACTAATCCATCTGCACAAAAAGATGCCGCTCAGGTCGATGGTGGCTCGGCCCGCGGTGATGCCGGGCGATTGGAGCTTCGATTTTGGGGGGCCTGGGCGGCCGAAGCGCGCATGCAGTTGGCGCTTTGTACGGGAATCAAACGCCATTGGCCTGCCAAGGCCATTGGCGGCAAATGTGAATCAGGTGCCCGCTGTGCTGCTCCTGAGGGCTGCTGTCGCTGGCCCGGCGCCACACCCCGAGGTGCCCAGAGGTGCCACCATCACATGCAAGAAACGCTGGCGCGCCCCACGCACTCCCCAAGCGGCGCAGGCTCGAGATGAACCCCGAAATTTACTCCGAGCGGCGCCGCCACCCGGGCGGACCCCACAACCGCCACACGCTGCCCCAACCGACTGGCCCGCGGGCGTCCCGCCGACCATGACGGTGCCCCGCCGGCCGCGGCCCCCGCCTGCTCACGACGCCTTACGCAGCTGCGACCTTTTCCAGGCCGCAATCTCCTTGTCTACGCGCCGCTCGAGCTCGGCGCGCAGCTTTGGGCGGTACCCGAGCGGGAACAGCAGCTCAAACCACACAAACAGCGGCGCCAGCAGGAACGCCTGCCAGAACGCGAGGAAAGGGGCACAGGGGATGAGCGGGCAGGGCGCTGCGCCGGGCTGCAGGGGGTCTCGGCGGGGCGGCTGCGCGGCAGCTGCTGCCGAATCTGTGGGCGCGCTCGGTGGCGCACGGGGCGGGTGGGGTTGCGGGCAGGCGGTGCCGGCCGACCCCTGCGGAGCGGCTCGTTGGGCCAGGCCCGTGCCATCTGCCGCCCCGACTGGCAACCACCCAACGAGGCGCAGGCGGCCGCCCTGCCCCCGAACATCCTCAAGAGCATGCGCAGCGCGGATGCGGCGGCAAACGTGCCGACCACGTAGGGGCCCCCATAGCACATAGCACACCAATCAGCCAAACAGCAACAGCATGATCCAGATTCAGATCCGGACCCAGATTGCTGGAACCCGCCGCCGTCCCCCGCACCCCCTCTCGTCCCCACCCCACCCCACCCCACCTGCACCAAGCTGTCCATTAGCGCGGGCTTCCTGCCCTCACATATCGCGTGGCCCGGGTGGATCTGGGCCCACCAGCTCAGCACCTGCACCCCCAGCGCCCACCAAGCGGCGTTGGCCACCTGCTCGCAGGCCGCCGCCGATGAGTTGCAAGGTCACGACCGCCGCTGCTTCGCGGCCGCGCCGCCGAAAGGCAACGCCCCGCGGGTTCGGGGCCTCGCTGGCAGGCAGCGCGGTGGGCCCCACGCGCGCACCGTAGCGCAAAGTCGTCGCGGGGCCGGGGCGTGCGGGGGGAGAGAAAGGGAGACTACACAGGCTGCGACACCCGCGCACATCAAGGAATGAGGGTCTGGCTTGCGGGCGCCGAGGCCGATGCGCCCCCCGCCCCCCCGCCCCTCCCATGGGTGCGGGCGGAGTGTTGGAGCTCACCGTGCTTTGGAAGGCGGTGGCCGTGACTGCCAGGGGCAGGCCGACCGCGGCCGCCCAGCTGAGGCCGGCAAGGGGGTCGAGGGCGAGGTAGAACAGGGAGTAGCCGGAGAAGACGAGGAAGGGCAGGTTGATGGCGACGCCGCTGCGCGGCATGGGCACCAGGTATTCACGCATGAGCGCACCAGCGAGAGTGAGCGTGCATGTGACAATGACCAAGTGTACACGCGCGCATGTGTGTGTGTGTGGGCCGGTGTGTGCGTGTGTGCGTGTGTGTTACAGGGCAGCAGGTGGCTGGATCGGCGTGGCAGCAGGGATGCTGCGCGTGTGCATGGTCAGACCGGCGGCGGGTGGTTGGGGTTGTATCTCTGGCAGGACACACAGCACGTCCCAAAGCATGGGGAGGTGTGCGCGGCCAAGGGACGAGCAACGGCAGCCGCCAGAACGGTGAGGGGGCCGCGCACCTGGCCAGCCACGGCGGCAGGCGCGCAAGCGCGGCGGCGAGCGCGGGCGCCTGCGGCAGCGGCGCGAGCGGCCCAGCGGCCGCGAGCCACACGAGGAGAGACCAGATGATGCCTGGCACACACACAAAGTGAATGGCTGCGGCGCGCGGCAGGGTCGTTGACACAGGGAGAGGAGTGGGGTGACGGTGGGAGGGCATGTGGCAGGCTCAGGCGCCGGCGCGCTGACCTGACGCGGCGGGGGAGGCGCAAGAGCGAAGATGCCCAGGCCGGATCTCACAGCGCTGAGGGGCTGCCTCCCTGCCACGATGCAGCGGGCCCGCTACGCCCAAGAGAGAGGAAGGCCGACCTTTGTTTATCGGGTTGGAGTGGTAGGCGCCATAGAACACCAGCTGGTCTTCCAGGTTCAGGTTGAGGCCCATGGCTGCAGTGCGCCTTGCAAGGCTGGCGTTCTGGCGGCGGCGCTCCGACGCGGGTGGCGCTGCGGCCGTCCGCAAGGTGGCACACGCACGGCTTTGTTAAATGCTGGCCCTGCTGACAAAGGAGCTGACGGCGCCGAGGCGGTGGACGGCACCGCTTTGAAACGGGCGCAACCAGAACCTGCGGCGACGCAGCGACCGACAAGTGGGGCACCGCGGCCAGGCTGCACGGCTCGCGTGACCGTTAGCTGCGCTTTAGAAATTATATGTTGACACCGTTTTCCAGACAGTCGTCCGCTTGCAACTTGGGCGCCTGGATCCGACGTGAGACTGGCAGACTGTTCCGAGTGACGTGGATGTCTGTGCAGCAAACCTGACGTATCAATGCCAGATAGCAGTCAACGCAATCGAGCGGTACTGGTATTGGAAGCGTGGCCCTGCTCATTGTCTTTACCGTACAGTAGTCTGATCTTGACAAACTCCAGATCCGCTGGCACCTTGGCAAAGCTGTAGAGCGTCTTTATAATGTTGAGAGGGCGGCACTCAGCATTCCGTGAATGCGAGCATCAAGGATGGGCCCCAGGCACCGCCCCGATTGTTGCGCACCCAATCGCTGTGCCTGCGGCGGCTCGTCAGCCAGCAGCAGCAGCAGGCGACTTGCGGCGGCCGCGGCGGGGTCAACTCCCCTCCCTGCAGCAGCACCCGCGCCAGCCGCGCCTTTCAGTCGTGGTTGCGGGCACCGGACCCGCGCCGCCGCAGCTGGCCGCGGGCCCGGACGCCCCTAAAGCGAAGCTCGCAGTGTTTGTCTCTGGCGGCGGCTCCAATTTCAGAGCCATTCACGCGGCCTGCATGGACGGCCGCATCAACGCTGAAGTGGTGGTGAGGGACAGCATGGTCATCTGCGGCTTGGTGACATGGCAGGGGACTTGAATGCTTGCTCACCTTTGCCCAGGCTGCCGCAGTCGGTGTTGTGGCAAGCGACCACACACACATGCGCACGCACACACGCGCACAACACACGCACGCGCGCGCACACACACACACACCACACACACACACACACACATGCACGCGCGCACACACAGAGACTCTCTCTGTCTCTTCCACTCTCACACACACACACACCCATGACGACACGCGGGCAAGTGAGCACATGCACATGATCCTATTCAACCCTCCCTCACTCACATGTGCGCAGGCGGTCGTGAGCGACGTGCCCACGTGCGGCGGCGTACAGTACGCGCAATCGCACGGCATCCCCACCCTCACCTACCCCATACCCAAAAAGGGCGGCTTCCCGGGCCTCACCACCGAGCAGCTGGTTGAGGCGCTGACTCAGCAGCTGGGCGCCGAGTACGTGCTGCTGGCGGGCTTCCTTAAAGTGCGGGTTGTAGGCGGGGGCTCAAAGCTGCAGATGAGGAGGCCGTTATGATGGCGGAAGGCTGCTGTTTTGCATTGGCAGCATTGCCAGGCGCGGGCGCGCTCCTTCAGAGCAAGTCGCGCATGCGTGTTGGGTGCACCAATCCATGCATGTCCACGCGGATGGTGGCAGGCCCGCCCCACTCCCAATCGCCAACAGCCATCCCACTGCTGGCCGCGCCTCAACCACCCTCTTTTTGCCCCCCCCTTCCGCCCTCTCCTCCGCAACTGCAGCTTATCCCGTCCGACTTTGTGCGCTGCTACACGCGCCGCATGCTCAACATACACCCGGGGCTGCTGCCGTCGTTTGGCGGCAAGGGGTACTACGGGGAGCGCGTCCATGCCGCAGTCATAGCCTCTGGTGCCAGGTGGGCGCGGGGCGGGCGGGCCGCAGACTGCTGAGCCAATTTTTTAGGGATCGTGTCCGCCTGGCATGCATGTGCTAGCTCCCCAAACACGCACACACACACACACACACACACACACACACACACACACACACACACACACACACACACACAC